TTCTCAACTGTGGCACCACAGCCCCACCGGGAGGCCTGGGACTCACTGCGGCCACAGGGCAGGGCGGGCAGTTCTGGTGCAGTCCTGAGTCTGTCACCTGCCACCTCTGTGATCCTAGCGAAACCCTTCACTGCCTCAAGCCCGTGTCCTCATCGGAAAACCGGGGAAATGGCCCTGGCCAGTTTGGCTCAGTGGATAGAGCGTCGGCCTGCGGACTGAAGGGCCCCGGGTTCGATTCTGGGCAAGGGCACATGCCTGGGTTGCAGGCTCGATCCCCAGTAGGCGGTGAGCAGGAGGCAGGTGGTCAATGATTCTCTCTCTCAACATTGATGTTTCTATCTCTCTCTCCCTCTCCTTTCCTCTCTGAAATCAATAAAATATATATATTTAAAAAGAAATGAAGTGTCCCTTCTGGCCGAGATCGTGAGGTCTAGCTGAGGCCTGGCGTTTCGGAAGCTGAGGACCAGCCTGGATGTCCACTAGGTTTCCACCCACTCACTCACTCAGTCATCACATACCCAGCTGTGGGCCCCCGTGGGCTGTGGTGACCACGGTGACCACTAGTGTCCTGGGAAATGTCTCCGCCAACAATGGGGCCAGCTGACAGCTGAGCACTTGTTGGAGGAAGATGTTGGCCAAGTGAGAAGAGAAAGGCCAGCTGTGGTGGGAACGGTGCGCAGCCGGCTGTGTGAGGGTCGGCCCTGGGCCAGATCCCAGGTGCAGCACAGCCAGCCGCCCACCCAGAGCTGGGTCAGTCCTGAGGGCCTTGGAGGACAGGTCAGGCCCCAGGTGCTCGGGAGGCCACGCCTGTGAGGGAGCCTCCAGGCTGCATCCCTGCTCTTCAGACCTTATGGGCCCTGGTCTTGCACCAGGTGTCCCCAGCGGACCCCAAAGTCTGTGGCCTCAGCGGCAGGGTCACCCCGGGCCCGGACCAGGGGATGCTGGGCCCTCCAAGAGAAGCCTGCTCCCGCGGCTGGGCTCCTGCCGAGCGCAGGTCCGCGCTTTCAGAGAGGCTCTGCCTGCGGGGAGGTGCCCAGGCTGGAGGGCACGGCTCCTCTGGCAGCTGGGAAAGCACAGAGCGGGCTCCCGGGGGCTCTGGGCTCAGGCAGGAATGCCCTTCCCTTCCCAGCCTCTTCTCCTCATCGCTGTGATGGAGGTCAGGTGAGAGTGTGACATCCCAGGGTTGGGCCACGCGGGCTGCCAGACAACCTGAGGGTGCTGGGGGGCGCTGTGCCTTCCCGAGTTCTGGGGGAGCTCTCAGGAGTGCTGGCCAGGGCAGAGCCACCACCGAGGGACCCCTCCCTGACCCCGTGACCTTGCTTTAGGGGCTCCAGCAGCCTGCGGGCCTCCACGAAGCCCTCGCTCAGTGCCACGCGGCTCAGGCCTGGCAGAGGCCTGGCCCCCCAACAGCCTGTGAACCCCTGTGGCATCTCTGAGTTCTAGGTGGGAGGGCCCTGAGGTGGCACGCTGTCTGGACGAGGCCTAGGAAACCTGAAGCCGTTGCTGCAGGCAGGCAGGGCTCTGTGATGCGCTCCAGGCGCGGGACCTCGGAGGCTGAGCGCGTGCAGGAGGCAGGGGGAGCCCCTTGCGGCGCCCACCACGCCCGCACACACCTGGAGGCTGGCATTTACCAGTTTCCACAGTTTAGCAGCAACCCAGGCTGGATTATCGCGTTATACGCATGCTCCTTAGCGCCTTCAGAGGGGGCCCTCGCAGGCTCAGGGCACAGGCCCAGCCTGGGAGGATGCTGCCCTCCTCCCCAAGGTCACCCAGGCCTGCAGGTAATGAGGGGCAGGAGCCAGGACTGTACCATTGAAACTCCGGTGGGGGGTACGCAGCTAGCTTCACGGGCAGCTTCACCAGCTTGTCTCCTGCTGTGGCTTCCAGGACGGGGCCCTTGAGCCACTCGACGCTGATGAAGGGTTTTTCTGCCAGGCGGGAGGCATCGGTGTAAATCCAGGGGCTGGCATGGCTTACCCACCACTGCCCAGGGACTCAGCCATGGCCCTGCGCCCCGAGGACAGACCCTTGCAGACTGGGGCTCCCTCTGCCCAGCAAGGTGTGGGGGCCAGACAGGCCATCCACCCACAGCCCTCCCTTGCCCTGGGCTGGACTTCATCCTGCTTGGTGCACTATGACCTCTGACCCTGGCCCGAGCTGCACAAGGACCCTTGTTCCACAGGCCCGGTGACCACCCAGGCCCTGCTGGGCACGCTGACCCCGCCCCAGACGCACCGTGCACGATGACCTCAGTGCTCTCCCGGAACCGCTGGATGCCGTTGTTGGCCTCGCACGTGTACGGGCCGAGGTCGCGCTGGCTGACGTTGTGGACGGTCAGGATGCTGGAGAGCTCGGTGTGCGTCTGCTGGGAGCGCCGCTCGGGCACCCACTTGCCCCGCTCGGCCTGCCCGTGCCCAGGGGAAGTGCAGGGTCAGAACAGGCAGGCCGGAGGGCTGATACCAAAGGCGCACCCAGCCCAGCCAGCAGTGCCGGCGGCCTTACCTGCTTCCCTGGGTAGTCCCAGTCGAAGGTGACGCCCGAGTTGAACTCGGCCCACACGGTGCAGTTCAGGACCAGCTTTTCCCCGACGAGCAGCTCCATGGACTTCTTGGGGAACAGCTGGATGTCATAGAGCTCGTTGCCTGGCGACACAGGAGCAGTGACCCCCAAGCCCCTCACCAGCACAGCACCCGGAGTGCAGGGCGCAGGGCACCCACCAAGACCAGCGGTGGCACCTACGGCCCCATCACTGAGAATCTGGGGTCTCCATGTCCCCCTGCAGTCTTCCTCCCGGGACCCCGTGGCCCAGGACAGCCCCTACCTGTGATGTGCACGATGAAGGGGTTGGACAGGAAGGCCTGGCCGCCCCAGGTGGTCTCGCACTGCAGATACAGGGTGTCTCGCAGCAGCGGCGTGGGCACCCGCATGCCCCGGCGGTCATCCCACACCACGTCCTGCCCGTCGGGCCGCAGCACTGAGCTTGGCTGCTGGGATATGGTGGCCGTCAGCTCCCGGCTGCCCCCTTCCTCCTGGCCAGGTCAATGGCTGCCTTTCCCAGGGACAGGACAGGAGGGCTAGGTCGTGGGGGGTGAGGGGGCTGTACCAGGCGCAGGGTGACGTTGAGGCCAGGGATGGACACCAGGCAGGGCACCCACATGGAGTCCTTCCTGTCGACCAGGAGCGTGCCTGGCTTGTTGATGAACGGCTGCTCGGAGTCTGCAGAGAGAGCGCAGTTTGTGGGAAGGGCAGGTGGAGCTTGGGGAGGTCTCTGCCCAGGTGGGGGCTCCAGGGCAGTCCCAGGAGGTCTGGAGGCCAGGGGTGGGGGGTGGGGGCCAGCTGCCCCTCCAGGACCCTGCCTGTCACCTCGTTGGCTGCAGGAGCGTGTGGGGCTGGGCCCCTCACCTCTTACGAACACATAGGTGCTGGCCGCGGTGGTGCCCTCGATGCGGGCCTTGATGTACTTGTAGTAGCAGCCGTAGCTGCCGGTGTCGTTGGCGTGGGCCTCGGGGAGCAGCAGCACCTTGCAGTAGGGCCGGGCATCCGTGCCTTCGCAGTCGCGAACGAACCCCAGGTCTTCACTGTCCTTTTCCCCCGTGGCTGGCGCTTCCTGAGCCCCTGGCCAGGCCCACTGGAGGGGGTGCTGCCCCCTGGCAGAGGAGGCAGAGGTCAAGAGGGGCTCCACTGCAGCCCCAGGGGCCGAGGCTTGCCCACAGCTTGTCTCACCCGGAGGTCAGGCCAGCCCGGTGCCGGGGCACACACCATGGACCCAGCCCACAGCGGGCACGGAGTCCCGGGCCTCTGCCTGGCTCCGGGCCTCTGTGCGGCAGGCTGGCCTCCGAGGGGCCGGGTCTCGGTCACAGCTGGGCTGCAGGGGGCTAACATGTCGGGGCCTTTGAAATTGGCTAACTGGCCTGGACTGAACAGCGGCTGCTGACGTGGGTGCAGGGTGACCCAGGGGTGGGTGCAGGGTGATGGTCTGTGGTCCATGTGAAATGACCAGGGGGGCTGTGGGGGAGGTGGGTGCAGGGTGCCTGGGTCTGCAGGGTCAGCCAGCTCCCAGGCCCCCAGGGAGGCCCACTAAGCCTCAAGGCCTCTCTGCCCGGAGGAGCTGCCTCCTGGGCTCTCCACCACCATCTCCGGCCTCAGTTCTTAGTCTCCTTTGCCTGACAGACAAGAGGGCCCCAGGCCCCTGCTCCTCTGGCTGGGGGCTGAGTACCTGCAGGAGATGGACAGGCTGTCGTTGGAGTCAATGACGTGTGTCTCCTCCGTGATGTTCAGGGTCGGGGGGCTCATGGAGTAGCCACTCACCAGGCCTGGGGTAGGAGACAGGGTTAGTGTGGCGCCGGGTCATGAGTTCACGTGACAGTGTCAACCAGGCGCAGACCCCCCTAGGGCAGGGGCCCCAGGCAACAGGACTAGGTGCTCCCTGCCCATGGCTCCTGCCCGGGACCCACCCAAGTGAGCCCTGGCCGAGGCCGGGATCCAGCCCAGACCCCTGGCCCAGACCCCACAAGGCTGAGCTGCCAGCATGAGGTTGGGGGGATACTGCAGACCTCATCCTGCATTGGGGAGGCCTGCCGCAGGTCACCTGGGCCTTGTGCACCCCACATGTCTGCCCGAAGGCCCCTCCCTTCTGCCTGTGAGGGGTCCTCGCAGCGCAGACTGTCCCCGAGCATGCCCAGAACTGAGGCCTCGGCCTTCCCAGGACCTCGTGCTCTGCCAGGCCCCATGGAGTCCACCTCATGTGTCCTTGGTCCCAACTTCTGTCCAGCCTCCAGGGCCCACTGGCTGCCCTAGCTCCTCCGACTCTGCCTGCTTTAGCTCCGCATGCTTCCCACAGGGCTTGTCCCCAAACACACACATAACTCGCCTGGCCCAGCTGAACACACGCCCAGCCCCCCAGGACCCCGGCATGGACCCTCAGCTCCTCACCCACCATCCTCCTACCAGCGTGATGGCCTGCATGTGCATGTGAGCGTGTGTGTGTGTGTGTGTGTGTAAATATGTGTCTATCTGTGGGCATGGATCTGTGTTTTTATGGGGTGGGGTGTATATGTGACATGTCTTTGACATGTCGGTGCATGTGCATACATGGACTTTGACATGTTAGTGTGTGTGTGTGCACGCGTGTGATCTGGCAGACCCCGGAGGTCTGGGTCTGGAACTCTGGCAGATGTATCCTGCCAGGACCATCCTGAGACAACAGGAAGAGAGGACTGCATGGCTGGAGGCCCAGGGCTGTGTCCTGTCCCTCCCCGCAAGTCCCTGTCCTCCCGGGGGGCAGGGCCCACTACCTGCCCCTGCCCCTTCCCTCCCAATAGGTCCAGCTCCTCTGCCCTCCCAACCCAGCTCCCCGAGGCCAGGGCCCCCCCCTGGTTGGTTCTATACCACCCTAACCCCGCACACCACTAACCTCCCTGGGAAGAGCCCCTGGGTGGTACCCTCCATATACCAAGATCTTGGTGTAGCACCAATGGACAAGATGGCCAGGGCTGGAAAACCCTCCCCAAGCATCTAGTCCCACTGTACAGACAGGGAAACTGAGGCCCGTCAGCAGGAGCATACTGGCCCCTCAGAGGCACTGACCGCTGCGAAGTCCCTCCTTAGCCTGAAGCCAGGACGCTGCCTCCTGCCCTCAGGCCCTAACAGGGAAAAGTGGCCTGGGTTCCGCTCCCAGGGGCTTCTCCATGTGGGCTCTGCCACCAGGTGGTACCTGGCCTTCCATGCACACCAGCCCCCCACTGCATCCCTGGGCTGCTGGAGAGGGTACCCCACATGAGGAGGCCCTCCTGCCGTTGTGAGGGGCCGGGAAGGAATCGGGAAGGGGGCTCTGACCTGGGCCTCAAAGGACAAATAGGATCCCCAGGCAGCGGAGAGTGAACAAAACCACAGCAGGCAGACAGCCGGCCTCTGAGCTGCAGAGAAGGGGGCGTGATGGGCTTAGGCTTGGAGCACAGGGGAATGAAGGCACTGGCCTCCCGACGGCTGGCATGTGGTCATCAGAGGAGAGCCTCAGCAGCCAGCACCCACCTGCCCTGGGAACAGGAATCCCCCAGTGATGCCTGCAGTGTTGCCCTGGGGACTCCAGAAAGGCTGAGGGTCCCCTCTTTGGGGTGCACATCCAGGCACACACGGTACCCCTAGATACGAAGCTGTGGCAGATGTCACAGATGTCAAAGGCTTCCCTTTGCTTCCAAGATAAAGCAGGCCACTCCCTTCTGCCCACTGCCCTTCTCTCCAGCCTCATCTCCCGACATGTCTCTGAGAGGCATGGACCTCCCACCATCATCCCAAAGTGCCAGGCTTCTCATATCCGGAGTCTTTCTCCCAGAACATTTGTGCTCCTCCTTCCTGAGAAGCTGACTTG